TGTCAAGAAGTTGTTGATAGAGTTCCTTGTATGTCATCGGAATAGGGTCAAAATGTTCCCTTTCCTTCATGGGTTCTCTGGAATCTTGTTTAGAAGTACCTGACGACACAGCTGCAGTTGATTTCGGTTTGGAGATTGTAACACCTTTACTGACATGGTTGATGTTGTTAATCTTTCTATCTCGCTCTCGCATAGGAGGTTTCCTACTGGCCTCTCTATCCTTAATCTTGCCTTGCTTTATGGCCGACTCAATCATTTCTCTGGCCATAACTAAGTCTGAAAAGCTCCCTGATGTGATCGCAACCAGGTGTCCGAAGTATGGAGCCTTCAGGGTCTGTACGAAAAGCTTTCGGATTTCCTTTTCATCTAAAGGTGAATGAACTTGCACAGCCAAGTCCCTCCATTTTTGTGCGTACTGCCTGAAACTCTCATTATGTTTCTTTTTCATGCTTTGTAGCATAACTCGATCTGGCCTTATGTCATTGACATGCTTGTATTGTTCCAGAAATGACTTGGCCAGGTCTCTCCAGGTCTTGATATTTGATCGGCTTAACTGGTTTTACCACCGGATGGTTGAGCCCGACAGACTCTCCTGGAAGCAGTGGATCAGGAGTTGGTCGTTTCCTCCATATCTTGTCATCTTTCGGCAGAACATAGTGATGTGAGCGGATGGGCAGCTGTTTCCGTCAAACTTCTCAAATTCTGTGGACTTAAATTTTGGAGGAAGAACCAAGTCCGGGACTAGACTGAGTTTCGTGGCATCGATTACATGGTAGTCATGGTCTCCTTTGACTACCTTCATTTGGTCCTCCAATTGTTTGATTTTTTTTCTCCGTCATCTTTGCTTTGTCCTCTTTGTCCAAATTCGATACATGATAATAACTCGGACTGTTCTCGGGGTTAAATACAGAGGACGAGGGCTTCGCTTTTTCAGCAAATGAGTCCCCACGAAGTTCTGGTAAGATTTCAGGTGAGACAACCACTTGCAGCGTAGGTAGTATAGTTACCCCTTCCGGTGAACCTGCCCCATGTGCACTGGTCTGATGTAGACCAGACAACTTGGCCACAATTTGATCAACCAAGGACTCTTGATTTTTCATAATTGTATTCAGAGTACTCAGACTACTCTGGTTTATCTTATCTTCAAGTTGTTTCTGTAATTTGGCCATGTTCTCCTCGATTTTCTCAATTCTTGCTTCCATCTTCTTATTTTTCAGGCGGGTGTTATGCGGATGGGGTGTGTCCAATGCTTGAGGTGGTGTATCTAGTATGTGTTCCCTTTTGATGAGACATGCATATGTTAGTTAATGCGAATGTAAAGAAAAATAACAAAATGCAAAATATGTCTAGATGAATAATGCATGCAATGTTTGAGGCATTAATCCAAAAATATGTCTGTTATTAGAAATAATACTTATTGGGGATAAAAGTGTTTTATCTTTTAAGAGACAAAAATATTCTGACAGCTTCTGACATGTTGACTAGTATTCTATCTTCGTCTGTCACCGGTTGAATAACTTGTCGAACTGCTCTAGCTTCTCTAGATGAACCGTGCAAATGTTGAGTTGCTTTTTGTAATGGCCCAATAAGTCTCGAATGACTGCATATCTGGCATTTATCTTTTGTTAAACCTGTTCCAAACAAATCGTCATTGGAGCCCTCAATTGATAAGAATTATGTGAAGTTCATTCGTCTGTTTCTTGAATTCATCAGTAATGGTCTCCAATTTCAGCTATCATTTTGTCATTGTTGCCTTTGAAGGGACTCCCAGGATCTGTAACTTTCATCTTGCCCCTGTAACCTCTGCCAGTCAGTTCTTAAAAAATAGTCTTTCATTGTGCTTGATGTAGACCCAGTTCATTATGAGTCCTTTATAATGCAACAGAGTGATATACTCTTCCATTGTGAGCACCACGTCTTCTGGATTGAATGTGACACATAGTTGCCTTGTAGACTGTCCTCTGTATTTTCATCTCTTGTATTACAACCCCTTTGTCCATTAATGCAGATTATTCATGTTTAACAAACACATTTTTGGTGGATCAATACCTCTTTTAAATGATGCGAATAATGAAAAATAAAAGAAAACAAAAAATAAAAGAGTTAGTGAGGTAAATCAAAACAATAAAAAATAAAAGATCCTACCCCACATGATATCTACCCCGCATGCTTTAATTCCTACCCGGGCATGATCTCTATCTCGCTTGCTAGTTTCAAACAAATCCTAACCGCATATTTGTCTAGTTCGCATGCTTTGAACATAAAATAAAGCAGGAAATAAAGCAGCCTAGGGTTTGGAATGAGGTTTTGGGGTGGGCTCTAACTCCCTATGCTCTCCCGGTTTAGGTTCTAAAAAGGTACTCGAGTTCTCCTTGCTGGTGCCCTCTTGGGCTTGCCAGATCCTTAGTCCTAAGCCCATTACAAGCTTATGTGGACCAAGTTAAACTCGAGAGGACACATTCTCTTATGCCCGCACGGTGAATAAATTCACACGAAGACATAAGGTATATGAATCCCGAAGGCTACTTGCTAGGCTCGCATGGTGAATAAATTCACACGAAGGCGTCGCTTTTACCCCTACTTAAATAGGGTTCAGAGCTCGGGTATAGAGCCTGAGATAGAAACTTTTCAAAAAATCTCTGAAATCATTGAAAAAAATGTCAGTACAACTATTTATTTGAAAATTAATTAAAGGTAAATAATTGGAATCAAATAAATAAATTTAACTTTAAATTTAAATTTACCATTTTCGCATAAAAAGACAACTGAAAATTAATTTCGACATGACTCACTTACCTGTCCCCAGTAAGTCACCAAGCTGTCGGAACCGTCTTTCGGGTGGGCCTGGAATTGTGCTTCGAATTACGAAAATTGGGTTAGAGTCGCCACCGGCCACTTTAAAACGAACTTAGGTGGGTCGGACACCATCTTACCTAATCTGCGTTGTAACAGAAATGTGTCGGGTTTGAGAGTCGGTTACGGTCAATGAAGGATTAGCACCCTTGAACCGCCCTTTTGGTATCAATTAATTTACCGGTTGTCTTTAATTGCGAAAACTGTAAATTTAAAATGTTCGACTCAAATTACTTACCCCTGATCAGTTGGAAATCTTCTAAAAAAGAGATCGAAAATGTTAGACAGAAAAATAAAATAAAAATAATAAAAATAAATAAATAAATCAGGAAAAAATATATTGTAAAATAATACAATAAAAAAAGAATAAGTCGAAAGAAAAAAAGTGAGATAAAATAAAAAAAACAATTAAAGAAATCAAAAATAAAAATAAAAATAAAAAACTAAATTTTAAAATAAATATATATGAAGGAAAAATATAGAAATAAATAGTAAAAACATATATATGTATATATATATATATATATATATATATAATAAAGTGGAATATTAAATAGTAATAAAGAAAGAAATAAATCAATCAATCAATAAATCAATATATACTAAAAATAAAAAAAAACATAAAATAACAAGCAAAACTAAAATGTAAATTCTGAAATATTAAGGCTCGAAATGAAATAAGGTGAAAGTCTATTGGGTGACTGAAACACAACTTTCGAAAGATACAGACATAAAAAAACTTCATTCTGTGACTAAACGAAGACTTTACAGAGAGGGAATGACCAAATCTGAAATATTTCTGAAAAACACGGGTATAGCTAAAACGACGTAGTTTCATTTTACACACACACACACACACACAGACACACACACATATATATATATATATATATATATGTTTTAAAGAGCAAAATGGCCCAACACGCCTCATTTTCCCCCTTTTCTCAAAAACAGACAACTCCCTCTTCTCTCAATGCTCTCAAACTCCCCTTCCCCGACGAGAAGCCGGCCACCGCTCTGGCCAAACAAATATTTATTTCACCGAAACAACCTCTTTTTCACCCTAAATGCCAACCCGAGGCCTAAATCCCCAAAAACCCCACCAATCGGGTAGATCTAAGTTTAAAGTTCCAAATTTTACCCTTTTCCGGTGTCCCCTCGGCTTCCGATGTCCCTTCTCCTTCCAATGCTCCGATCGGGGCTCCCTTTGGTGTTTCGTACGTCTGGTTTTTGGTATTTGTGTGTGGTATTTTGGGTTCTCCGTTGTGTGTTTGATTTCGATATGTTCTATCGTGGTTTGGTATTGTGATGTTCACTTGGTTTCGTTGCTTCGTGTTGATAGTCTGGTTGTACGAACCCTCTGTGGGTTATCGATTTTTTTGTGTTTGATGTTGTCTGTGTTTGTTCCCCGTTGGTACCGTTGTGTCTCTGGGTTTTCTGTTCTGATCGAAGGTTCTCTCGATGATCTCCCCCCTCTGTGATGGTTCCTCGGTTGTATTTATAGGCCCCCGTCGGGGCCACTTCCGAGCTTGTTTGAGGTCGATCCCAAACCCTAAGGGTCTTGGGCTGGTTCAGGCCCATACCTGATTGGTTACCTGTTGGACCCACTAGACTCGAAATGGACCTAGAATTAACCAAAATAAAAATGATTAAATAAATAATTAAAACAAAAAACAAAAATAAATAGTAAATAAAAAAGAATAAAATAATATACTATATAATAAAAAAATGTTTTAAAGATATTTTCAAAACCATGTATTATATAATTTTCAAAATGTTTTCAAACTATATATTATATCTTTCAAAACCATTTTAAAACTATATTATATTTTTTTTAAAAAACTATATATTATATAGATTTCAAAATGGTTTTAAAATTATATATTATATTAGTTTTCAAAATGGTTTTAAAACTATATATTATATATGTTTTCTAAAATATTTTAAAAAATATATATTATATAGTTTTCAAAAGTATTTTTAAAAACTATATTATATACATTTTCAAAATATATTTTTAGAAATCATATATTATATACATATTTTTCAAAAACCATTTTGCGAACTATATGATATATATGTGTAGATATACATATGTATAAAATAAAATAAAATAAAATAAATATAGACAAAAATAAGTGCCTACACATCTACTTTAGTAAATTTTATGAGCTAAGGTTAATTTTATTCTCTCTCCCCCCCTTTTTATGAATATGGTTTGAGGCATGCAAATCAAAGTCATATTCCCTGTTCAACCTTACGGTATATTATAGATGAACTGTGATATAGATGCAATATAGTATTGTCGATATTTGAACCCATCCTTGCAGTGAAGTTTTTTAGACTCAACAATGAACAAACAATATTTTAGTGTTATCCTTTGATACATATTTAGCACGAACAACTGATATGTTTTTTCAACCATGCAGTGTTATCCTGGTGAAGATGATCTAGCCATTGAACGGGCAGTTCTTATGTAAGCTTGCTGAAGAACTGCTCACTTGGCCTATAATTTACTGTTCCTATTGTCACTGACTTTCTTGACATCACATCTCGAATCTTGTTTTACTCGAAGTCAAAATTCTATGGTCCATAAGATATTATGTCTTTCATTGTTCCCTTTGTACACTTGTAAACTGAAATTGACTATTAACACGCCATGTTCCATTTCCAACCTAAAATTGGATTTTTTTTTCTCTGAGAATTATAAATTTCCTTCTATGATAGGGAATAAACTGTTTTATTCTTTTCCGTTTTCTGTTCTGTTTAATAGCAATAGATTGTGTACAATAAAGAAAATGACTTCAACATTTTAGGTACTTGTCTATGGGTAATCTTCGAGATGCTAATTACCTTATGGATGAATTAAAGAGACTAGCGGATTCCCAGGAGCTTTATTTCCCCGAATCGGATTTGATTCAGTTTATCACTCTTCTCTTGCTAACGTAAGTTATTTTGCTTTTACTTTTGGTTAAAACCACCATATTCACTTTCCATGTTGGGTGAATTTAACATGGTCCGATTAATTGTTCGAAAGTCTCTTTTGTATGCAGGTTGGAAAGAGATGCCTTGCCTCTATTTAATATGTTGAGAGTGAATTACAAGTCTAGCATAGACAGAGAACCTGCATTCAGTGAGGTGGGCAATCAATTTTGTGAATTAGAATTCCTGTTATTCTGATTGTAATTTCCTCTCCGGTAAAACACATTTTCGACTTTATTTTGTGTATTGATATAATCATCTCTTTGGCGTATTGTAAAGCTTACTCGTATGATTCTAACGCAAACATGATTGTGCAGTTGCTAGATGAAATTGCTGAAAAGTTCTATGGCGTACAGCGGAGAAACCCCCTTCAAGGGATGTTTGGTGACTTATTCAAGGTGATTATCGACAAATCCTTAAAACTTTATGAATTGGATCATAAGATATTCCTGGCATAGAAAACCATATTAAATAAAAGAGAAACAAGCGTCAGTGACCGAAAATGCCTTATAATATACGATTTTGATCAACTTTTTTGGATTTGCCAAAATGACCAACAAAATCGCAATGCGAACTCTAATTCGCAACGCGATCTCCAATTTCTCAACTCAATTTCCAAAATCGCAACGCGATTCTCAAAAATCGCATTGCGATAGTACTGTTCACCGTTGCGATAGCACTGTTCACCGTTGCGATAGCACTGTTCATCGTTGTGATTTTACATTTCGCGTTGCGATAGTCTACAATGTCATTGCGATTTTCCATTTCACGTTGCGATAGTGTACAGTGTCGTTGCGATTCTCAAAAATCGCGTTGCGATAGCACTGTTCATCGTTGCGATAGCACTGTTCACCGTTGCGATAGTACTGTTCACCGTTGCGATAGTACTGTTCACCGTTGCGATAACACTGTTCACCGTTGCGATAGCACTGTTCACCGTATATATTTTGTTTTTCTCTTACAAAGATTATAATTTTATAAGTTATAAAATAAACAAATAAGATATACAAACTAATTGTATCACGTAAAAAACTTTACAAAGATTCATTGTAAATTGTTCTTGCAAGCAACTAATATTTTTATTTTCATCTTTGTAAAGTTTTTTACGTGATACATTTTTTAATATTTTGGCCTATATATAATAGGGGCTGCTAAAATAATGTTGATTGTACAATGAATCTTGATTTGGCAATTAGTTTTAGGGCAAACTATGTATTTAGTCACTCAATTTTTAAGTCTTACATGACATAAAACTTAACTCAATTTTTAAGTTAAAATTCGTATAAATCTGACTATTATATATATATATATATATATATATATTTATTAACTTAAATAAGAATATATTTGAAAACAAACAATGTAAAAAGTGGTATGATTTTAATTATTTCTAAATATATAAGAAAATATTATCACATAATCTACAATTAGATTTAATCAAATTTTTTATCTTAATTATAATTTCAATCAAAACTCAATTTAACAAACTTATTTAATATGATCAAATCGAAACTATAAATTTGGATCAGATTAGAATCCATTAGATGAGTCAAATGATCATTCCGATTATATTGTATGAAAATGAAATTTTTATATCATATTATATATTAAATAAAACTTAATATATGTTTTGAAATTTTAGAGTTTGAAGTTTGTATATCTTATTTGTTTATTTTATAACTTATAAAATTATAATCTTTGTAAGAGAAAAACAAAATATATACGGTGAACAGTGCTATCGCAAAGGTGAACAGTGCTATCGCAACGGTGAACAGTGCTATCGCAACGATGAACAGTGCTATCGCAACGCGATTTTTGAGAATCGCAACGACACTGTAGACTATCGCAACGCGAAATGTAAAATCGCAATGATGAACAGTGCTATCGCAATGGTGAACAGTACTATCGCAATGCGATTTTTGAGAATCGCGTTGCGATTTTGGAAATTGAGTTGAGAAATTTGAGATCGCGTTGCGAATTAGAGTTCGCATTGCGATTTTGTTGGTCATTTTGGCAAATCCAAAAAAAGTTGATCAAAATCGTATATTATAAGACATTTTCGGTCACTGAGGCGATTTTCTCTAAATAAAATCATCTCTGTAGATAATGTGCTGAGTAAGAACATGGCTGCAACCCGAGTTTGTCGGAATTTGTTGAAATCTGCGGGTGCTTTGACTGATCCAGACTGCTGATTTTCGTTACGTCTTTGGTTTGATGGCAAATTCCTTCTACAAAATACATTTGTAATATGTTTCCCATTGGCTGGGGGTCTGAGATTTATCCTTAAACCATGAAAAGTGGTAATTATTTCTTACCATTACTAAACATTGTACCAAATGCTGCCCCATTGTTACATTCCGAGCCTATATTATTCAGACTAGAGGAAGATTGTTAAGATATACATTCGACAAGGATGTCCTTTAAAAAAAATTGGATGAGTCAACCATAAATTTTAAGGTTAGTTTGAAGAATAGATTGTTTCGAGTTTGGTTTGTTCAACTTTTATAGTCGAGGCAAATTGGATTCAAGTTTATCAGATCTGACAAAATTGGCATGTCTAATTCCAATATTACATTGTTTCCATATTATCAGCAAATAACCATTACACATTGCAACGGGTGTCGAATGATTTTGAGTTAAAATGTCTTGACTAATTCTTTAATCTTATTTTTGGATTTGAATATTGTTTTTTTACTTTGAATAATTAAAAGATCTTATTTTGGTTTAACGAATGATGTTTACTATTAACTTTTTTATAATCTTCAACCGAGAAGGATGAAGATGAAGGATTTAACATCACTCCTTCTTCCATGGTAACTTCTTCCAAATTATTCAGTTGACATCAATTGCCTCAATCTGCTTGGTTAAAACATCCATTTGACTCTTGAAACTAGATGAGTTTTCCTTTTCATCACGATTAACTGCAATAATCTTTTCGTTTTGATGCCGATATATCTTTTCACCTATTTGGCTAACATGTTGCTTCCTCTTTGGCTGAATTTTACCTTTGTCACTGTCTGTTATCGAGACAAATTCGTTGCTTGATTCCCAAGATGGATCAGTTTCAGCCATGAAAGTTGTAGCAGTAGAGCTTTTAATGGTACCAGCTTTTTCTCCTTCAAGCTTTGCAGCACAATTAAGCTTGTTATCCCTGGAAAATTGGGTTCCATTCCTCTGAGAACCCAGTTTTTTCTCCTTTAAGGTTGCAGTTCTTGGTGATTGAAGCTTACTAGACCTTTCTCTATTTGGAGTGCCATAGAGATGATTGGTACCACTTCTAGTTTTAGAACTATTTTGCAAACCGGAATGGAACTTCACACCATTTAGAGCTAATTCCCTGGAATTTTCCTGTATCGTTCAACAGCAAGAATGTGATGTTCAAACTCAAAAAGAAACTTTCTCAATGAAATAAAACGAGACAAATCAATGAAGAAACCAACCACTTCAAAGAATCCGATCTTCGGTGACGGAAGTCGAAGGCCGGAAGGCTTTATTTCCCTTAAAAAAGTCGATGGTAGTTGATCATTCGAACAATTCTCAGTGTCTGAGCATTGAGAAGCATCAACATGATTCAAATAAGATGAGGACTCATAAGACCAACAACCAACGGAAGTCAAAAGTGAAGCGCTCGGTTTGGACTGTAAACTAGTTGGCTGAGACGTATCTATCAGTTTGCTTTTGTGTTGGGTTAAGGTTTTTGTAGGAGTCCAAGCATCTGAATCAGAAGAAGCCGAATCATTATTTCTTCTCAGAGAGCTTGGGGGTTTAACAATGGAAGGACTTTGACCACAAACCGATCCTGAAAGATCTTTAGAGACAATGAGGGAACGTGAAGAAGATGGTTCTTCAGATGGTGTACCACGGTCACCGACACAAGGTTTCTTTGACCTGTTTTGTCCTATAATCGTCAACAAAAAGAATTTTTATGTCAAGCAGAAACGGAATATAATTGCTGTGTGAGTAAACCAAAATTTTACGACAGATTTACCAGATAGAGCTTTTCTGATTTTATAGTTCACTTTCATTTGGTTTGCGCTGATTGAAGCCCTTTTGGCTGCACCAGATGAGAAAGGATTGGCCTCGTCATATGCCTTGGACAGCTTAAGGGAAGAGGATGGTTCATGTTCTCCAGCTCGAGTACCATGCTTTGTTTTTTTAACCATAAGCAGAGAACCACAAATTACAAAATAAGAGAAAAATAACACAAAAACTGTATGAATAGAAAGAATGTGTCTACCAAATGTATGAACTGAAGTGCACATATGAAGTACTATGTAACTATGTTACTCTGATTTTCATGAACTACATTTGTTTGATACATGTGTAGATGTGCGAAATGGGATACGCTTCAAATAAATGGAAATCTTGAAAAAAAACTGAGCATATTCGTGTTCGGCACGTGCCCATATCTGACACTTGTATACAAGAGACAGAATAATGTAACTGCAAAGTCTGTACCAGTAAGATGAATTCAACATACCTGTGCTTTTGAGGGATTGATGGCTTCTTTTGCTGTCTTTCCCACTGCATCTGCATTAGATTTTGGCCTTCTGGAAGCTGAAAAGGGTTTAGCCTGAAATTTTTAAAAAGAATTGAGTCCCAAAAGGACATAAATAGTGTCCGTTTTAACCCCAAGAATAAATAAAAAAACTACAAACCCTGGTTGAAGTAGTATCCAGCCGTTTTGAAACTGCAAAGAAGTAGACTTGATTAGCATAAGGAAAAGGAAAAGCCAAGAACCAATTCATGTTGTAAAACAATCATATGAACTACATGCCATTATTTATTAACTAGAACCGTTTAATTTTGGGCTTGCTAATCCTAACTAAGCCTATTGACCCTCCAAATACATGAAAAAACATGTCTGAAGTATACTCAATTCCGACACTCGAACCTGATTCATGTAACATAGTTAACTAGAATAGAGAAAGAAAGAGACTGAGATATATAAACCTGAAAACAATACAGGAATGATTTGACTCCATCAAATTCCGACTGAAGATGGTTCATAGAAGTAGATACTTACAATGGGGATTTGGAGTGTCTGTTTGACTTTGAAGTTTGCAACTGGAATTCACAAAATTGGATGATTTGCTTGATTTTTCCATAGATGCTCTCATATCATCAAAAAGATCAATCTCAAGACTGGACAAGGAGTAATCACTATCCAATGTGGAGTTTGATTCAGTAGATTTCCAAAACTCTTGTTCAACTCCCGGAAGTATATGCGTTACTGTTTCAGACTTCCTATTGTTTACCAATGACAACTCTTCTGGATTCAATACCCCTAAGCATTGAAAGACAGAAAAAGGAGTGGAAAGTAATTATGAAATCTGAAATATATATATAATGAGGAAAATTTGCTTGAACATAAAACCCGAGCTTAGCCAGTTGGCTCATGTAGTGACACTGACACCTTAAAGAAGTGGCTTTCAATCGTTGTGAATTCGAATCTCAACATTTTTGAATTGTTATTCTTTTTGGAGTCCAAGGGCTCATTTATACAAAATAATTGCTACAAGTTTAAAAAAGCACACTGGCGAAAAAGGCAGCATCCCAAGCTAAACTTCTCCGGGCAATGCACTCACCAATTCTACTTGCTGCCATGGATTCAGAAGGTAAACCACAAGGTTCCTTGTGTCCCTTATCCCCAGGAATAATATTCAAGGTCTCAAACAACTCTTCGGGATTCAAAACTCCTAAGAACATGAACAAATTTTCGTGACAATAAAACAAATGACCCTGAAAGCCAAATGGCCTTAACAATGATGTTAAAATTGCTTGGAAATTTTATCAGTCATTTTGAAAACTTAAAAACCAACCTGGACTTGTGAAAAAGGCACTGTCCCAAGCAAAACTCTTGCGAAGATCATACTTGAACTCGAATTCATCAGTATTTTGTTCTTCTTCCTTTTGCCTTGGTTCATCTTTTGTCTGTTCCTTGAAACATCTGCTGAGTCAATAATATCCCATGAAGAAATTGATTTAGTCAATGAATATATAGTAAGAAAGGGAAAGAACAATCAGATATTTAGATCAAAGCCTAAAATCAGTCCAAATTTAATGGTTTAAAGTTAAATTTTCATAATAACTTGATCAATTCAATCCTGATATCATTTCCTGTAATGGAATTTGACTGAACTTGGCGGTCATCAATATATTGTTAAATTACAATATGAAATGTTTCCAAACATAAAGATCTGTTCTTGCAGAAAAATAGTATAAATCAAGCCTTTCAAAACCAAGAAAGAAACAAAGAATTCAAATGTGTTCAACTTTCCTATGTTTTTCTCAACATCCAAACAAAGAAAATAATAAAAACCGAAATTGAATAAATTACCAGGGGATTGAAATTCGTGCAAAATGTTTCTTTTGGATGACATTTTCTTCTACAAATTACTCTTTTTGTTTAGTTTTCTTGCATTTTAGTTGAAGGCATATAAAGAAACCAACAGAGTGAGACAGAAGAGAGAGGAAGAGAGGGAAAAGAGAACAACTTTTTTAAAATTTCATTTGTAATTATTGCTAATTAATTTGATTAGTGGACCGCATGTTTTGTGCATGAATTAAGATAGGAAGATTCTAATTTCTGTCTTAAAATGGGAATATAATAGTCCCCAAAACAACCAAGTTCTTACATTCAAACGCAAATGTCGGTTTGACACGTCTATAATAACTACTAAATTCAAATATTTTAAAACTAACAAAACAAATTAATATTTTTTTTAAATATATTACATGTTAGGAAACTAATATATTTCCTTGAACTTTAAGGCATATTATTTTTTTTAAAAAAATTGAGATTTGAATGATAAAATTATGCTTTTATGTTTTACCCATTACATCTTTAAAACTATATATAATACGTTCAAAATGATTAAATAGTGAATAAAAAATAATGCTCAAATATCAATAAAAATTAGTTCAAATGGTAAACAGTTTGATATCACTTAAGCAATATCTCAACTTCCAGTCCTTCTATACGTAGAAAATCCATCTTTGGGAGACTTACCCACCAAACCTAGGCATCCAACCCAGGTCCATCCAAATTAGCCAAAGTGAAACCTTAAAATCAGAGAACAACAAAAAAAAATAATGCTCGAATTAATATAAATGTAAATGGTTCTAAGAAAAAAAAATATTATCTTAAAACATTTTTATCATGATCTCACATGAAAAAGTACAAAATTTGAAAGTCGTTTATAAGTTGGGGATGCTTACATATAGTTTAAAAAGCTATTTTAACTAAAAGAGATAGTTTAAGGACATTATTTTTAATAAAATAAAGAAAGTGAATAAGCCAAAATAATGACTAGGGCTGGCAATAGATCGGAGATGGGTCGGGTGGAGCTTCATCCGCCCCATCACCTGCGATCCAAATCTCCATCCGCACCATCCATCACCCACAAAAAAATTCATCTATATCCGCTCCATCCATCATCCGCGGGTGGAGCGGATGAGAAATGGATGATACTATGAGCAAAACCTATTTTTACATCCTAAGCTCAAATTCTTCTAACATTCATAGAAACCAAACATTGATACTCAAACATTCATAGAAACCAAAACATGAACAATAAATTTTTATCAAATTCAAACAAAAACAAAATGGAACACAGTTTATATAGTCTTGTGCACTATGTTTGTGATACATTTTTCAAGTGAATAGATGCATCATGTATAGTCTTGTACACCAAATATAATCTTCAAATCTTCATCAACAAACTATCACTTCTCAAAAACCCTCTCCATCCTAGTATCAATAGGGATAAACCAATATTAAAAAATTAGATATATTTTCAATGGGATAAAAGTCAGAATTAAGAGAATAAGAATATTTACTATCACCCGTTTATTTTTTTAATATATATATATCTAATATATCTAATATAATATATATATATATATATATATATATATATATATATATATTAATAGGTGGATGGATACTGCGGGTGATGGGTCAAAAAAATTTCATCCATATCCGACCCAACTCATCACCCGCCAATCATCCGTTTCACAGCAAGTTTTCATCTATTTATTCGGGACGGGTGAATAATTCACTCACCCATGGATAATTGTCAACCCTAATAATGACTGCTCAAAACTTACATTTATCAAAATGTTTTCTTTATTTTAAACATTTATATATATATATATATATATATATATATAATAATAGGTGGATGGATACTGCGGGTGATGGGTCAAAAAATTTTCATCCATATCGACCAACTCATCACCCGCCAATCACGTTTCACAGCAAGTTTTCATCTATTTTCGGACGGGTGAATAATTCACTCACCCATGGATAATTGTCAACCCTAATAATGACTGCTCAAAACTTACATTTATCAAAATGTTTTCTTTATTTTAAACATTTTCTTATCAAAATGTAAATATATTAAAAGGGGGTCATTAGAAAAAGATTTTATATTGAATTATGGGTTAATATAACTAATTCTTTATTAGACTTCTACTTCGCTATCCCCCATACACCATGTTTTAGAATGAGAAATTTTAACTAAACATTATGCCAGCCTCACTAATCATAGCAATATCTTCTCATGCTATGAGGAACCAAAGGATAAGCTGGTTCTGCAGAAATGTCACATAATGACTGAAAATCAGAAAACTCGTCACCATTGGCATCCGTCAATAAAGCGGGCATGAATAATAGATACGGCAGCTATGATTCTACAATGCGGTCTCCTAGTCCTAAAGGATGGCATCCATGAAAAGGTCAAATCATCTAAAATGATATTACATTACACTAGTCCGAGCATGCGTGCAGCTTATAGCATAATTCAAGAGAAAAAACGAATCCGAGCTCAAGGGCCATCCGTTGCCTTCTTCAAGTTGAATCAAAAGCCTACCAGGGCGACACCTGAACCTGAGGATGTGTTCTCCCCTATATAGATTGCATCAAAAGAATCGAGAATAAGATTTGACCACAGAAGGCAATATTATCACAGCTATAAACAAAATAGAAGAATTTGTATTACAAAACATCAGTCATTATGCATGACTGGTAGTTCATTTATCCAACTTCAGGCCACCAGAAAACTGAACAATCTACATTTTTATAGTCCCATGATGCATCAATCATACAGCTTTATGCACCTTAAAAATGAGATGGATTCAAGAAGATGAACTCGTATAAATCATCAACTCCGACCTCAGGTTAAACTATTCACAAGAGGTAATAATTAAAGCATTTATCACCACCCCAATTAGCATGGAGATCTAAATTTTGGGCTCCTAAAATGTAAAATAACAGCTGCTCCTACTTCTGTCATTTGCAGTTAGTGATGCCGTAGATAGTAATATAGATTCAGTTATTTCATATCGTATACCTCTTATCTACCTGTAAATAGCAAAACCATTAGCCATACTTGTCCACTTAATTTTGTGCAAAAACCGTCACTATTCTAACATCATCAAGTTAAAAACTTTCATACAGATAAGAAAATTAATACCTGAAATTTCAAAGTAATTTTGACAGCAGAGAAACTAAGTTGAATGATCCTTTCTTCCAGCCACTTTAGGTGGAGACGTCTCCATTTCAGTAGTTGTAGAAACGGTTGATGTTTCCTCGGCATTAGTTGTGAGAACAGTTGAAGCTTCCTCACTCAAGGTTGCCGGGATAGTCAAAGTTCCCTCAGGCAAGGTCATAGGAATAGTTGAAGATTCTTCACCCAAGGTTGTGGGACCGGCTGGAGTTTCATCACCCATGGTTGCGGGATTTGTTGGAGTCTCCTCGTCCAATTTTGTGGTAGTTGGATTTTCCTCAGCCAAAGTTTTCGGAATAGCCGGTGTTTCCTCGTGTGAAGTTGCAGGAACAGTTGCAATATCCTTGCCCAAGATTACAGGAATGGCCATGGTTTCCTCAACCACGGTCGGAGTGGTCAGAGTTTCCGGACCCAAGGGTATGGGAATGGTAGGAGTTTCTTCGCTGGAAGTTGGAGGAATTGTAGGAGTTTCTCCACTTGAGGTTGTAGTAGTAGTAGGAGTTTCTCCACTTGAGGTGGGAGGAATTGTAGGAGTTTCTCCACTTGAGGTTTCAGGAATGGCTGAAGTTTCTTCGCCTAAGGTTCTTGGAATATTAGGGGTTTCTTCTGCCAAGGAAATGGCTGGAGTTTCTTTGCTCCTGGGAATACTATGGGTTTCTTCTGTCAGGGTAATGGCCGGTGTTTTTTCATCCAAGGTTCTGTGAATACTAGGGGTTTCTTCTGCCAGGGGAATAGTTGGCGCGTCTTCGGCCATGGTTCTGGGAATACTAGGGGTTGCTTCGGCCAAGGGAATAACAGGAGTTTCTTCACCCAAGGTTGTGGGAATACTAAGGGTTTCTTCTGCCACAGAAATGGCTGGAGTTTCTTCTCCCAAGGATCTGGGAAGACTAGGGGTTTCTTCAGCCAAGGAAATAACTCGAGTTTCTTCACCTGAGGTTCTGGGAGTAGTATGGATTTCTTCTGCCAAGGTCACAGGATTGGTACTAGTTTCTTCACCAAATGTTGTGGGAATGGTTGAAGTTTCTTGACCTCTGGTAACAAAGCATGAATTTTCTCCACCCAAGCTTACATTAACTGCTGAAGTTTCCTCGCCCAAGTTTGTGGTGATGGTCGAAGTTTCTTGGCTCACGGTTGCGGAGAAGGGATAAGCTTCCTCAAACGTTGAAACAACTGTTGAGGTTCGCTCACTAATGGTTGTGACAACTGTTGAAAATTGTTCGCCTACAGTTGTAACCATAAAAGTTTGGTCACCAATAGTTCTAGAAACATCCATTGCTCCCTCATACATGCTTGTGGCAATGGGCAATGTATCCTCAAACATGCTTGTGGAAATGGACATTGTCTCCTCATACATGCTTGTGGCAACGCCTGAAGAACCCTCACCAAAGGATGCGTGAAGTTCCTCATGGAAAGTTGTAACAATGGGTAAAGTTTCCTCACCGAGGGTTGAAACCATGAATGAAGCTTCCTCACCTAGACTTGGGGGAAAGTGAGAAGTTTCCTCGCCCAGGGTTGATACAACAAGAGCATGGTCCGCACATAGGGATGAAGACATAAGTATATTCTCTTCAGCTAGGGTCGGAGCATACAATGAAGCTTTGAATGATTCAGATATAGTGTAGTTGAGTTGATAATTTACAGCCACTGGCCCAAAGATGTTGAACTTTCCAGCACTATTGTAGGCAACTTCAGCATCAGACGATCTTCTAAAAACAACTCTTGCACGGCTGGTTTCGCGATCAACTTCTGTTTCAGATTCCTTTAGTGGTCCAAAGTGCTTGAACATCTTATTTAGCTTTGTTTTGAAGGGACAGAATTAATCTCAGTGAAGTTCATAACAAGTTCTGCTGGAGCCCTCTCATTAACATAGCCAGGGGGTTTCCGAGTTGTCAGATCATGATTACCATCAGAATACCGTTTTCGAGACTTACGGCCTTTTTGAAGTGGCTTCTCTAATTGAGCAGGCACTATTTGATATTGTTCCTTTCCATTTCCATGGGGTGGTTGCTCTTCAGAACCATTTTGAACTATTCTGTCAGTCCAATAAGTGTCATTCATGTCATCGAACTCGAAAGTTTCTGGAGAACCAAAAATAGAATTGGGGGATTTCTTCCTTTTGTCACTTACTTTTTCCACAGCATGTTGATCCACAACAATTGAATCTCTGAAATTAGAGAAGAAGTTGACAATTAAACTAAAAGAACTTTTCATTGGATCGCATGCTGCCTGGTGAAGTTGTGATAACAACTCCTCTAGTGATGAGTAATCTGCCATAAAACTCATCATCTTTTGCAGCGCATCCTCAAAATTCTCAATGGGAACATCAATTCCATCAGCAGCAGGATATACATTGCCTCCATCAAACTTCTGTAACTTATCACCACTGGACTTCAGAATCGATGGAGATCCTGTCATTTGACTCGCAGCTCTACGGATACATTCACCAATTTTAAAGGAAGGCCTTGGGAAATGAGGTGGAGTTTGAGACACCTTGGCAAGAGAAATTGTCTTCTTCCCGTCTTGCATTGAGTCCTCAAAGGAATCAACAGTTTTTATTTTCTTGCCAAAAGATGATGAAGGGAGCTTATTAACCATCCCATCAGGCCCATTTTCAGCATCAGGAGAATCAAATGTCTCATCCATCAGTTCAGTCAAGCTTCTTTCCCTTTTACTAGGATACAACCCATCCTTCAGATTATGCTTACGCTTAAGGTAATAGTTTCTCTTAGTTTTTGAAGCTTCTTCGCCACTGAAAATTTGCTCACCGTCGGTATCCATAGGTGTACAATGCTCAATTACCTCACCGAAGTGCATTTTGTCTTCAGAATGTGAGTTGTTTGTTTCATTTTCACTTAAATCTCCACAGGATTGGAATTCGGGCAACTGATGATAACCTTTTAAACGATAGAAAGCCAACAATTGAGCTTTAGCAATCACAAGATCGAGTCGATCACCTCCAGCTGCAGGAGACTCTGCTAATACCTTCATATAGCCAACTAATTTATCAGGTTTGAAAGAACTAGCACTCAAAGACTTATCAACAACATCTCTTATGCTTGATTCTTGTCGAACACCTGCATTCTCAACTTTTTGGAATTTTATCCCGTCATAAACATCCTGTTGTATGCAAGAGCACGCCAAACCTAGCTCTGTCCGTCTAGACACTTCTTCCAAAGCACAATCAACTGCATTGTGGAATGATTCTGAATTACTCTGTTTTTCAATCTGAGAGAAATGTGGTCGAAATGGCTTCAAAACAGAAGCTTCATTCCAAGCAAATGTCCGATCAAAGTAGGCTACCAGAAAGGTATCCTTCTTATGATACTTAACCGCCTTCTCAGAAGCATCTGATGTATCAAAGATCTGCCCTGGCCACCATGGATGGCTCCTCACCTTTCCCCAGACTAAATCAGAAACAGACAATTCACCTTCTTCCTCTAGCTGCAGCTGGTACCTCGCTTGATGCACCTTTATTGTACTCGCAGACCTTAGAAGCATTCGTTTAACAGACTTTTCATCGAATTCTGTTGGCTGTTCAGGATCAGAATCATGTTCTTCAACTTCCATTTCTTGCAATTGGTCTAAACCATCATGTTCATCACTAGTTACTTGTTCTTCACCATTCATATCTTGTGCTGCACATGAATCATCCTTAGAAGCTGCATTCTCAGCTAGTGGATTTTCATTTCCCAAAGAATGTGAGGAATGTACTTGGTTCAAAACATTGTTATCAGCTTTTGAGGCTTCATGATTAATGTCTCTATCAGCATCAAAACCAACATTTTTTGAATCAGAAATCTGCTTTTCAGCATCCGTTGCAGGCCCAATACTTAAATCAACTTCCTCTGCTCCATCAATGACTGTCACAGCCTTTAAGCTCTGGTCATTTCCTGAGCAAGATAAAATTTGTTCAGATCAGCATTTTTGTAACCATATATATATATATCAAATTAAGAAAGAATACATGATTGACTCTAGCAAAATCGACTCTAGCAACTTTACCTGCATGATTTTCAGAGCTATTATAAGGAATATCAACTTCCATATGCCTTTGTTCATAATCAGCACCTTGCTTTGTTTCCATGTTTGCATTATCCTGCAAAAGAGAGCGGAAAAAAAAACTCAAGCTGGGTTTCCACACTAGTATCATTAACCACCGGCAGAATCAAAATTTTGAAGTACCTTCTCATCCAACCCACATTCAACAACCAATTCAGTTGATTGACATGAATAAACCGCATCTGCATGGATATTGTAGAATATTTTTCAGTGTTATCCACCTCCTCTCAAAACATCATTTCCCTCCTTCAACTTGAAATTTCAAATTATGACCGAAAGAACTAATTTTTATACCTTTTGCACCAGAATAGGGAACATCTTCTACGGTAATCTTTGTCTTCACATCCGACGACTTGGCATCTACACCAACATCAGCAGCTTCCTTCCTTGTGTCGGATATAGCTTCACAAGAACCATCCAGAGTATTCAAATTGTCCCCACCGATCATCATTGCAGCTTCCTCGACAACTTCAGTTTGAACCATTGAACCTTTGGACGCAACGGATGAACATTCAACAGCTTTCTGTTTTCCATGATTTAAGTCATTACCATCTGATTCATAAACCTTTTGTGCCTCCAAAGTTTGATTTGCATCTCCCCCACTTTCATCCGTTCCATTAGTATGTTCCATTTTCTCACCATCTTCAGCCTCAGCACCACTTACCTTATTACCGGCCTCAGCTTCATAAACAGAAACCTCATTTCTTGAACCCAAATCACCAGCTTTGTCACCTTCACTATCCAAGTTTCGCAGATTACCCTCCATACAAACTTCGCCAGAGTCACCATGACCATGAACCGCTTCATAATTCGAATCGGTCCCAATAATACCTCCATCTCTCCCATCAGTAGTACAAATACCATCTACATAAACATGAGAACCCAAAACTTCCACCATTATGTCATCTCCATTACTAGGACCCTCTTCCCCTCCTTCATCCATTGGAATTTGACCCTCGCAAACCATAGTCTCAACAACAGTTTCACTAGCAGTTAACGAAGATTCTGTAGCAACACTCACAGAATCGTCTTTCTCTTTTGTCTCATCCATTTAATAACCGACCCGAGGATTCTTCAAAATCATTCCAAAATTGAAATTAAAAAAAAATGACAAGAGACTGACATAGCATTTTTATACCATATATAAAATTTCAGAGATGAAACAAAATAGAGGGAGAAATTAAGCTACAGACTGAGCTACAGTTCACTAACAACAACTAAAAACTCTGTAGCATTACTAACTGAACTACCCTTCTCTTTAGCTTTATCCATAAAATAACTAATCTGGATATTTCTCAAAATCAAGAAAAAAATGCTCAAATAATGAAAATTTCCCAAAAAAAAACGAAATGAAAAAAATAAAATAGTAATCGATAAACCCCAACAACAAAAGATAAAAAATGAAGGAAAAATATGCTCCAAAAGATGAAATTCATCAAAATTACAAAGAAAAGATAAAAAGGCGAAAAATTTATGTTTACCTTCGATAGATCTCGCGATGGGGGGCTCAACAAAAGGAGGCTTTGAGGGTTAGGGGTTTAGAAAGAGAAAATCGGCAAACAGATAAAAAAAAAAAATAGTATATATTTTCAGAGTTCTCTAAAGAGATCCAAGGACAGTATACATGTCACCACAACTGTTATCGTTGCACGTGGCATGTTTCCATTGGCTTTTCTGGGGACTTGGTGACATTACATTTTTTCCTTCGAATAAAAAGGCATTTTTATGGGCTCTTAACAAAAAAAAAATATCGAAAGAATGAGAAGATTACGATAAACTTAATATTTGTCCTACCAAAATGTTAATGTATTTATTTAAAAAGTTTTTTTTACAATTATTATAGTTATCAAAAAAGTTTGTGAAGTTTATCAAAGATGATTTTTTTAAACTTCAATTTTTATTATAAATACTTTAAATTATCTAATATTTTTTACCATCTTATCAAAAAAATTATAATTATAAAAAACATTATAAGTTTTTCAATAAATGATATAAAGGTGTTCGCATTAATTATAACTTCAGAAGAATTGATGAATTTTATTAAAAATAAAATCTATGATACGTTTCAATTTTTCTCATAACTACAAAATTATTGTATAAATTATTTAATATATTCGTTAATATTGTAAAAAGTATAATAATATGATAAAAAAATAATACGAACGCCATATAATATACAATGAGAAGCGATATAAATGATATCTTGAAAAAGTACGTAAATTTTTATACAAAATGGTAAATTGTCAATGGAAGTAGCAAAAGAAGACAATTTTTCACCATAAAGTATTGAACAAGAAATTTGAAAATCACAAACGGATGCCGACTCTAGACCGAGGCCTTCGTCTCTTTTATAGCTTGGGAATAGGAATCAATACGACTTTGATTATTAGGACAATGAGATTATTGATTCTTGATAACATTAACAAATATTTTTTATTGTAATTTACCATCTCTTTTATGCCACAATCCAACACATAAACTATGATTTCATTTATGGTGTCTAAACTATTTTTTGACTAACCTAAGTACTTAACGTTGTCACTTTAGGTGTCTCGGCCGTAATGACTGTTAAAAAAATCTATCAAGTGACACATGTCACAATCTAATAATTTAGGAAATTTATTTTTTTTAAAAGAAAAATATTTTATTTTCGAAAAAATCTCAATTTTTTTCTCTAAAATATATATATATAAAAGCCTAAACTCCCTAAATCTCTTATTCTAATCCTCTTTACTTCAACCGCCGACGACCAACCACCTATACATTGCCAACCACCTACGGACCGGTCATAACCCTTGCTATTATCTTAAAACCCAAAATTTCCAAATCCCTAAACTTCGATACTTAATCCCTAAAATTCAAAATATTTAATCTTTTAAATTCTTTTGGTCGATCGTGGTAATTGATCATTTATCCGGTTGTGGCAACCAACCCTTGGCGGTCGATCGTTTAGTAAGACATTTGAGCTTTGGTCATTTGGCCATGAAAACTAAAATCACGAGAATTGCAGAGGAGGAGAGGGAGAGGGGAGGGGTGCACACGAATTGGTTTTTTTTAAAAAAAATTAATAATATTTTTATTTTTAAGATTTTTTTTAAAATTTTAATATTGTGACACATGTCAGTAATGAGGTTTTATAACGTTGCTATGGTCGAGACACCTAAAGTGATAATATTTATAACGTTAAGCACCTGGATGAGTTAAAAAATAATTTAAGTACCTATTTGTGAAAAGTGGTATAGTTTGAACACTTATTCTGGTATTAATCCTTCATTTGTCAATCATGTTTAATTTTAAACATAATTGTTATTGTAATTATCGAATATAAAAAATCGCATACACAATAATATTTTGGTATTTGAATTTGACTTTAATGTGTCATTTGATACTTATTTTTTTAGTGCAATTAAATACTTGAACTTATTTTTCTAGATTTAAATTAATATTTAAATTTAATTCTGTTGAAAACATTTTGATATTTCGATATAACAAATTAAGTTAAATGGATTTTAAGATTGTGCAATAAAGGTTTTCTAAGTATGTTCGATATAATTATTCGAATATCAAAATATTACTCTAAATCTTTCAAAAATCATTTTTAATCCTTACTCAAGTGTAAAATTAAGTTTTAATCTTAAAACAATTTCAAAATAATTTTACAAAGTATTTCGAACCATTTCAAAGCCAAAAATTTCAGATTGCTCAGAGGGAACCGATTCCCCCCAAGGGGGTACCGATTTCCCCTTAATGGTTTGGCTCTGAGAATTCCAGTATGCTCGGAGGGAACCGATTCCCCCCTGTGTAACGGTCGAAATATTTGAATTTTACACTTAGGGAACCGATTCCCCCCACGCTCCAAGTTGTTTTATTAATTGTTTTCACACTAAAACGATTATATTATCTTCTCTAATCATCCCCAACGTTCAAAAGTGATTCAAGGTGTATTTAAGCAAGATTAGAAGCCATTGATAAAAAACAAGAAATATCAAGAAACTAGAATCAAGAGAGAATCAAAGAGAAAGCATCAAACCTCAAGTTTGAGCATTTCAAGTCTATTTTTCATTCAATATTCGTCTTGCTTTCAAGAACACTTATTGTGCTCAATTGTATTCATTTTTTAGTGTTCTTTTCTTTGTTCTAGAATTGTGCCAACAATCTACCTTGTGAGGATTTCCTTGTAAGTTTGCAAATTTGTATTGTTCTCTTTGGGAGAGAGTGTTCTCAATAATTTGGGGTATAATTCTTGAGGGTTTGTAAGGTTATTCTTTGTCCTCAAAAGAAAGACAAATTAGTGAATTTGTGGAAAATCCTTAGTGTGGATAGCTAAGGTAGTGGACGTAGACTTTGGTTGAGAAAGTTGAACCACTCTAAATCGTTGTGCAATTTCTTTCAATTTTCTGCAAAAGCTTCCACCAAAATTTTTATTGCCAATTCACCCCCCTCTTGGCCAATTCCGTCAATCGATTAACTCAATAATTGGCACCAGAGCCTAACTCATTTGAAGGTTTAATCGCCTCTTGAGTCGATTCGGGAAGAGTTATGTCGATAATCAAAGTCATCAATGGCCTCTACTTCAAACTTCAACTCTGGTCTCGATTCGATGCCCGTCAACAAGCCTCCTTTCTTCAATGGGGCTAATTATGCCTATTGGAAAAATAGGATGATGTAATTCATTCAAGCAAGTGACATGGGAGCATGGAATGTCGTAGAAGAAGGATACTTCAAGCCTCTCACTCATCCAAGATTATGGAGTGAAGGAGAGACAAAAATGTTCCAGCTCAACTCCAAAGCCATCCATATCATATTTTGTGCTCTTGGACCAGATGAATACGGAAGAGTTTCATCTTGTACAACCGCCAAAGAAATATGGGAGAAACTTCAAGTCACTCATGAAGGTACCGACGAGGTAAAGAAATCTAAAATTAGTATTCTAACGCATAGCTATGAAAATTTCAGGATGAAACCAAATGAAGATATCAAAGCTATGACGGATAGATTCTCAACGATTGTCAATGGTCTCAAATCATATGGAGAGATCATTTCAAATGAAAAGCTTATGAGGAAGTTAGTCTACTCCCTCCCAAAATCGTGGCAATCAAAGAAGACGGCAATCATCGAGTCTAAGGATCTAACACCCTTAACTCTTGAAGAGCTAATCGGTTCACTCCTCACTCATGAAATGATGCTTGAAGATGAGGTGGACCTTGATAAGATTGAAGAGACACCAAATGAGAAGGAGAAGAAGAAAAACATCGGAGTTGCTCTCAAATCCACAAAAAAATGAGAGTGATTCGGATGAAGATGACGAGGAAATGGCATTGTTTGCCAAACGGTTCAGAAAAATGATGAGACCTTACCGAGGAAGAAAATTCAAATGAAATGAGGGCCTCAAAAATGAACCAAAAGAGAAGGACCTGATCATTTGCTATGAATGCAAAAAGCCCGGGCATGCCAAATATGATTGCCCACAATTGAAGAGAGAAAGGGTCAATCAAAGAATAAGCACAAGGCTCATGTGGCTACATGGAGCGATGAAGAAGGTTCCGATGAAAAGGAATAAGAAGTAGCAAACTTGTGCTTAATGGCATTCGGGGAAGATTCTAAGGTAACCTCTAACTCATCTGATTTTGATGATTTATCCTATGATGAGCTATTAGAGGAATATAATGGGTTGGCTTCGGATTATGAGAAATTGTTTTTAAAATATAAAAATGATGTTTCAAAATTAAAAAATGAAAATAAACTCATATCCAAAACCAACAACGATCTTGAAAGTAAAATCAAAGATTTGCAAATCAAACTAGAAGAGTTTAAAAAGAAAAATTTAGATTTGCAAAAATTTACTTTCAAAAGTCAATGATGATCATCAAAAGAAAATTGATGATCTTAAAGCTTCTTTTGATAAAGTTGGAACAAAACGTTTTGAAAGTGGAGAAAATTCAAAATCCAACTTTGTTAGAAAAAGTTTTAAAAACTACAATCATAGAGGTCCCCAAAGAACCTCTAATGGAAAAATCGTTAGAAGTATATGGGTTCCTAAGGAGCTCATTACTACTAAAGATAAGGATATCCTACACAAATGGATACCTAAGGGGACTAGGATTTTGGAAACTAATGAATATGGACCCAAAAGAATTTGGGTACCAAAAATTAGAAATTAATCTATGTTTGTAGGAAAAGGAGCATTGCTACAAGGCACGAGAAATAAATCCAAATTCATGGTACCTTGATAGTGGATGCTCAAGACACATGATCGGAGACAAAAATCGGTTCATTGAGCTTAATGCAAAAAATAGAGGAGAAGTGACTTTTGGTGATGATTCAAAAGGTCATATTGAAGGTATTGGTACTATTGGTAATACCTCTTCCATACAAATTAAGAATGTTTTATATGTGAATGGATTAAAGCATAATCTATTAAGTATTAGTCAATTTTGTGATAAGGGATTCAATGTCATGTTTGATATTAATGGTTGTAAAGTCATTGACATTGCATCTAATCGGATTATGCTTGTTGGTCATAGAATAGGAAACATATACATGGTGTATTTAGAT